CTTCAATACACACATACACACATACAGTCTGTGATTTATTTTGATCCAATAATATTAACGCTTTACACCTGATTAAATTAAATATTGAATTAAAATGTTTTATTTAAACAACACAACACGTGAATGTATTGTCAGTTTGATGTATAACATCAGTTTTCCTCCCTATTCACTCATTACCTTTATAATGTATAACAAACACTGCTCTCCTAGTACAGACCCCTAGTGAAGCCTAACTATAACAATGATTATGTGATATTTTATTGCTAGAGAGATTTGCTTTCCCTCCTCCAGCGTCCGCTTCTTTAATATTCATGGCCATGGAATGTAGTAGTTTATGTAGAGATATATAAATCATTCAGCTGTGTGTATATAGGCTCAGTCATAAGTGTGTGTGTGTGTGTGTGTGTGTGTGTGCGTGCACTGCTGTCCTCTCTACCTGTTTGATGGTGAAGTCGTTGATCAGGTGGTGGTTGTGTTCGTTGAGGCTGCAGTGCAGAGAGACGCAGTCGGAGTGGAATAGCAGGTCCTGAGGAGAAATACAGAAAAAGGTGCCAAAGATAAATCCCAATCTTTTTTTTATACAGCTGCTCACCACCTCTGCATGGGCTTCACGGTAGATTCACACTGAGATGAAAACTGCACTTATTGATTTTCCACCGAATCACATTTCAGATCGTTGTGCATTTTTGTTAGTCAGTAACTGGTATATCTTTACAACAAATACAAGTGTTAAAGTACATTTCTGTTTCTTATTACTAACATTATCACAGTTACTGTCAGTGAGCACAAGAGGGCGTCACTCCTTTGCCACATGCAGAAGGCACAGCAGCATCACGGTGAATACACATTTGTTACGGTGGATGGTGGAGAAGGCAGCGCTTTGTCAGCAAATAGAAGAGGAGACGATGGATTTTTCCCAGTAAAAAGAGGATTAGGTCTGAGTTGGTTTAAATTCCATGCTAGGGCTGTGTTTCTATTGGCTAAAATCCTAATGGTAGTCTAGTGGAAATGGTGCTTTTGTGACAGTCATATCTATCGCTGTCATGGGAGAAAAACTTGCTGATACAGATGCAGAGCAACTTAATGAAAACTGTCGGTATTCCCCCCTGAAACCAGTCAGTGTCAGCAGCAACAATAACAACTGATCTTTGTAACACACAGTACACTGTTGTCCATATTGATGTGCTTCATGGTAAAGTAACAGGTGTAACAATATCAACAAAACAATGC